GTTAAACCGTATAGTCCCTAGGGTTCTATTATCTTTCTGGCTAGCATTGTATTATCTATCTGAGAAATTGTGTAGTCTCTAGGTTTTTATTATCTTTCTGGCTAACATTGTATAATTTGTATTATCTATCTGAGAAATCGTGTAGTTCATAGGAGTAGTTGTCCCATTGCCCATTGGATTTGGTGAAACCCAATAATTTTTACAGCATTTTGGTTCTGCCTATGTTTATTGACAAGCCCTTTGTTGGGTTAATGTTGTTTTAAAAGTTCAATTTATTAACATTGTAGCTTTAGGTCATCCTCAATAGAAATGCTTATAATATGTCTTTCAATCTATGTTACCTGGGTACAGGTACGACTCCATATTAGAAGTACCTAGGTAACATAGATTTTTTTCCCCATAAAAAAAATCTGTTTTACCTGGGTACTTCCAATATGGAGCCGTATCGGTACTCAACAGGTGTTGTATCCACACCTATGTCAGACACTTCTTAGACACTCCTTAAATATATGCATGCATTTATTCAGACATGTACTTAATTCTGCAATGCATGATTAATTTAAAACCCTCATTATGCTCTTCTTGGATGTATATCATATACTTCACATCCATTTTTGCAATTTGTTGGACAAGGGTTGAGTTCATTTTAGCCTTAAGCGCTACAATTTAAAAGGGTCGTTTACATATATAGCTGAGAGCTATGATTATATGATATATCCCATGAGTTTTTCAACCATCTATAGGTACCCTACCTTTTACAAATTTGTTGTGTCTCCGTATCAGTCCCCGTACCCATGCAACTTAGATTTCAGTAAACATCCAGCTGAGAACTGTTTTCTAATGGAAACATAGCGTTGGTGCTTCTAGCGAATCTTACTGTAACAAGATGTTATTCATCTAGGCCCATGTTTGAGAATTATCTTCTACCACTAGTTTTAGAGAACTTATTGGGTTTGAAATATTAGAACCTTGATTTTTTGTGATAAGACATGATGTCATGATATGCCTTGTATATACATAGTTGAGACTGGATTAGATTAGAAAATTTCAGGAGTAGAGTTAATTCAATATGTTGATGGTACAAATCGCCGAGCGAGCACCCTTGATCGCAGAATTATCAAGAGTGGGTTGTAAAGAAGATGATAGAAAACACAAGAACAATTCAGTTTTGACGAAAAAAAATACATTCTCTAGATTACGAGATGAGAATAATAGATTACAAATCCCTTTCTCACAATCTCTCTAGAATCAAGAACAATCTCCCAATTCTCTCTAAACCCTAATCTCTTAGTTAGGATCTCACCTCTCTGATTTCTCTCTGATTGTTTAGAACCCTAAAAAATCCTCTTTATAGAGTTTACAACGTGGATGACAAACTTGTAATTAAACAAACTAAAATCAAACAGGAAAATAGAGTCCCAAATAAAGCAGGAAGGCCCAGGAAACCGCCGCGGTCGACCGTAGAGACCATCGCGGTCGATCGGATCCAACGATAGAAACCAAAACCCTTTATAGGGTTTGGCCGGTCGACCTCACATGTCGCTACGATCGATCGTTAAAAGTCCAGAGACCTCCCAGGATTTTGTGCACGTTCGCGGTCAACCGCGGCGTCACGTGCGGTCGACCACTGGAAGCTCAAAACATTTCCTATGGTTTCTTCTTAGAATATTTGCCTTTGCCTTCTTCAACGAGTTATTCCACGTCTCTATTCTTAAGATATCATGAGAATCATCTATGCTTAAGCTCCCATGAGGATCGCTAGGCTCCCGAAGTAAGGAAGATGATACACTCGTATCATGGCTCCCCCTTTAGGAACTTGAAGTCTCTCTCAAGTTAGAACTGTAGCTGAGGGAACTCACGAGTCTCTCCTTCTTTTCTGAACTACTTGGCCTTGCTAGGATCTGGTCTCGACGTCCGATCGAAAACAACTCATTCGTCCTGCGTCTCGTCGTAATCACATTCCGCTCTAAATTGTAGCCCTCTTTCAGTGGCTCCTCATAAGAACTAATGCATAACGTAACAAACTTCTTACTTACATTCACTAACCTGTTTGCCCGGTTTATCATCACCAAGTTCGTCTCATTCAAAAGAGATGCCGAACGAAATATGAATTTTCATCATCTTTGGTGAATGTGTACTTCTGAGCCCGCCTCTCGTAGATCGCGTATCTATCCCACAAATAGGGATTACCTAGTATAACCTGACAAATATCTAATGGAACTACGTCGTACGTGACCTCGTTAATATACGACTCATGGAACGCAAATCTGAAAATGCATTGATCAACTACACTCAATCCCGTCTCCTTCTGAATCCATCCCAATGGATGGGGCTTTAGATGCTTGACTGTCTTCAGACACAGCTTCTGAACCAAGACCTCAGATATCAAATTCTTCTTACTGCCTGGATCAACTATGACATCTACCAAACTGATCTTCACCTGTAACTTAAGAACAAAGAGCTGCTCTCTAGGGTCGTCGTTCTTTTTCGTGGCTTGCTTTCCCGTCATAAGGTTGAGAGTATTGTTGGGCTTTGTCATTCCCGGGATTTTTTTGGAACTTGAGCTATAACGTATGCCTTTTCTCCTCGTTCATCAAGCCCCTTGGCTTGAGATGAGGATACTTTTCCCAGCACCGATCAGTTACGTGTCATGTCTTCTCGTAATGACTACAAATCAGTGCTGTTTTTTCTGGATCACCCTTCTTCTTCTCTTTAGATTGAGAACCATTAGACTCGCCTCCAGCTTGTTTTGCATCTCCTTTTGTCTCGTTGCTCCTCTTTTTCTTGCCTTCGATGGTAATAGCCTTCACGCTCGCCTCTGCAATAGATTCCACCGTAAATAACTTCATCTCCTTCCGGATGTAATCGCTCAATCCCGTTATATACTTCATAAACACAGAATATTTCTCCGTCGTAATGTTGAGGACCATCTCCTGCTGTTGGAACTCCGTGGTGTATTCTTGAACGATTCGAGTGACTCTTTGACGCAAGCCGTACCACTTGTACTAACGTTCCTCAAGGAATCCCACCGTGTAGAACTGTTTCCTTAATAGCTCCTTGAATTTGTTTCACGATACCGCTTTTCTTTTCTGCTTGCAATAGGATTTTTACTATGTCAATGCATGCCTCAAAAGCTTCAAAGTCGCGAACACGAGTTTCTCCTTGGATGAATATCCGTAGATGGTAAAATATGTCTCCATCTGTTCGATCCAATCATCAAGCCTCTCGACGTTGACACTTTCATCATAAACATGAATCTTCACCTTAAAATCTATTTTTAAATTATGGTAAGAATCCTTACCCCCTTGATGCGGAACAGTCTTGACAATCTTGGCCTCCTCATCAGAATCAGATTCCTAGCCCTTCCCATCAGACTCTATAAGTTTCTTCTTGCCTTTCGAAGAAGATTCCTCATTTTTCTTTCTTTAGAAAAGATTGACGAGCTGTGTGAGAGTCGAACCTACTGTCTCCATCTGTTTCTCCAATGCATCTAGTCTTGTTGAACTATCCCCTTTAGTTATCTTCTTCTTTCTTAATCTCTGAACTCCTTCTAAAGAAATAAGGATCTCGTCTAGCTTCTTGTATTGCGATCGAGTAATAACAATACACATGATCCCCTTCACAGGATCTAATCGCTCTGATACCAACCTGGTACGAGTCGCCGAGCGAACACCCTTGAACGTGGAATTATCAAGAGTGAGTTGTGAAGAAGATGATAGAAAACACAAGAACAATTCAGTTTTGACGAAGAAAAATACCTTCTCTAGATTATGAGAATAATAGATTACAAATCCCTCTCTCACAATCTCTCTAGAATCAAGAACAATCTCTCAATTCTCTTTAAACCCTAATCTCTTAGTTAGGATCTCACCTCTCTGATTTCTCTCTGATTTTTTAGAACCCTAAAACAATCCTCTTTATAGACTTTACAACGCGGATGGTAAACTTGTAATTAAACAAACCAAAATCAAATAGGAAAACAGAGTCCCAAATAAACCAGAAAGGCCCAAGAAACTGTTGTGGTCGACCGCATAGACCATCGCGATTGACCGGATCCAACGATAGAAACCAAAACCCTTTACAGGGTTTGGCCGGTCGATCGTACATGTCGCTGCGGTCGACCGCCAAAAGTCCAGAGACCTTCCAGGATTTTGTGCACGTTCGCGGTCGACCGCGCCCCCCCGCCAAAAGTCCAGAGACCTTCCAGGATTTTGTGCACGTTCGCGGTCGACCGCAGCGTCACGTGCGGTCAACCACTGAAAGCTCAAAACGTTTCCTACGGTTTCTTCTTAGAATCTTTGCCTTTGCCGCCTTCAACGACTTCGTCCACGTCTTTATTCTCAAGATATCATAAGAATCATCTATCCTCAAGCTTCCATGAGGATCGCTAAGCTCCCGAAGAAAGGAGGAAGATACACCTCTATCAGTTGAAGATGCTAATTTGGGAATCCAGACCAGTGGCTGGTGGCGGGAGGATTTCAGAGAACTCAACTATGCATTGTTTTTAATCTATAAAAGTTGGAGTTTGTGAACTCTGTATGAGACTATTGTATGGGATACGAGTGTGACATATCTCTGAAGTAATCCATTCAGCGTCAAAAGCACAAAAAATTAATTTATTTTCAGGAAACTAAATCAAGGTTCAGGGTTAAGTAGTTCTTAGTCACCTTAGAGTGCATTAAACCATGATTAAGGGGATCAAATCAATATATAGATGATGTTATACTTAAAAGGGAAAAAAGTAGCGTCATTTTTCTCCCAGTCCTTTATTTACATGCTGCAGCTTAGTGGCAAGCACCTCGAGCTTATTTGTTTGTAATAGTCCTTCACAGTCGTAGAAGGGATATTAGATCAGAGTCATGAATTTTGTCATAATACCGATGGAAATATGAAAATTGTCGGCGATCTACATGGGAAAAGGTCCCCCCCCCCTCCTATTTGCGATATGAGAGATGGATAGTACATCTGCTTGTATTTTTGTAGCATAAAAGTTTGTTGTCTTTCTATTTTCATATCTTGGATTCGTTGCTAATTTGCTATTACATACATGATATGGGATGAATCTTACATATTCTTCATTTCCTTGGTGACTTAGTGTTTCTTTGTTTTAAATAGTCATGACTTTTTTGCAGGGTGAAAACAGGAATTCTAAAAGAGATGATGTTGAGGTTAACTTTATTTTAGTTTGTGTTTAAAAGTGTCTGCTGCTTTATTTCTGAACAATATGAAAGGAGGAAGTCAATATAAATTGAGAATCAAAAGGTTTCTCAGTCTCACTGCTCTAGTTTGCTTGACATTTGCTGTTTGGGCATGGGAGAAAACAGCACTCTTAAGTACTTTTCTCCCATCTTCGGATCAGTATGAAATGAGCTCCAGCATGTCTTCTCCAGGTCTATATAGTTGCTTTGTCTGCTGCCAATACTTTTTCGTCTTTTTCGAGTTTAGAAACAGTTTCTTACAGTTATCAATTTTTGGCTATAGTGTTTTCTTTAAGTACTCCTCAGATGCATTCAGTATACACAAATCAGAAACCATCCATAGAAGATGTCCCTTTTGATGCATCCATAGAGGAAGTGCCATCACAACCAGCAACAGAAGACAAATTTTCAAATAATATAAAGTCTCCACCTTTACGAGGAAGTGAAGAGAGCTTATTTGAAGAAAAAAAAGAGAGTGACAACTTGAAAATGGTTACGTCAAATAATAAAGGTCGGTTTCATAATACTTTACATAATTATTTCTTATTTATTTTCAAATAGTAAGTATAATAAGCATCTTTATGACACAGCAGGCTAAATTATGCTTAGTTTCTCTTTCCTTATCATTGTACTTGCCTAATCCATAGCAAAGACCCTTGCGGATTCTTTATTCTCATTTTAAATCTGTGTTCTTGTTATGTTCACCATAATTTAGCTAATAAGTGGACTTTTCACTGTTTTATGTTTTTCTTGAGTTGTCCGGCAACAAAAAATCATAGTGTTAAATGTGTTTAAAGTAATTTAGCTCAAAGTTCAGTCTTAATTTCCTTAGCATGCTTTCCTGGGATTTCTGATTAGCTTTCTCCACTGCAAGTCAAACCCAGTTTTTTAGTATTTTTCTTTCTGGTCTCAATTACATAGGTAATCATGATCAATCAATCTTGTAGAGTGCAATTACGCAAAGGGGAAATGGGTTGCGGACAGAAGGAGGCCACTATATTCAGGCTTGGGTTGTAAGCAGTGGTTGTCAGAGATGTGGTCTTGTAGATCGAATAATCGTACAGATTTCTCCTATGAGAGGTACCGATGGCAGCCAAAAGATTGTGAGATGCCAGAGTTTGAAGGCTCCAAATTCTTGAAACAGTAAGTTTTAACTGTTATTTTTCTTCATCTTCGTTATTTCTTGGGTGAATTTCACAAAACCCCCAAACTTTAAAATGATAAAGAAAATAAATTTAAAGTTCTGGTAGACAAGCTCAGGGAGTTCTGTGATTTATAGTCATGACCCCGCCTGCGAGCTCGTTGGCACGATGTAAGTCTTGGGACCCATTGAGCGCAACGCATTATTTGGCTAAAACCAATGCGAAAAATGGCCTACCAATGTTGTACTTGACTCCCATAACTTATAACTATTTAAACCCATTTATATCACCATGTATATCCGATGTGGGACTGTATTCATGGTATCAAATATAGAGTTCAGGTGGTTTTGTGATTTTACCCTAATTCTTTGGTTAACAACTTAATTGATCATGTACTGGCAGTCCATATTGTTAAATCTATTTAATTGATCTCCAGGGTGCAGCACAAAACAATTGCATTTGTAGGGGACTCATTAGGAAGGCAGCAATTTCAATCCCTGATGTGTATGGTCACTGGTGGACAAGAACACCCTGAAGTCGAAGATATCAGTATCCAATATGGCCTCGATATTCAACCCGGATCCGACAGACCCAGTGGCTGGGCTTTCCGGTTTCCAACAACCAACACCACTATTCTCTACTATTGGTCAGCTAGTCTCTGTGCGATAGAACCCATCAACATAACGGATCCCAACACTAATTTTGCTATGCATCTTGATCGTCCTGCACAATTTTTGCAGCAATATCTCCATAGGTTCAATGTTCTAGTCCTCAATACCGGTCACCATTGGAATAGAGGGAAAGTTAATGCTAACAGATGGGTAATGTACATTAATGGAAAACCGAACACTGATAGAAAGACCGCAATGATTTGGATTGCGAAAGATGTTGCTGTTCATAGTGTAGCAAAATGGATAGACTCTCAAATGCCAAAACATTCGGAGCTGAAAGTTTTCTTTAGGACGATTTCTCCGAGGCATTTCCTCAACGGGGATTGGAATACTGGGGGAAGTTGTGACAATACAAAACCTTTGGTTGGGGGAAGTGAGGTAACGCAAAATGTTTCAGCTGACCCGGTTGTTGAGGATGCAGTTAAGGGGACTAGGGTTAAGATTTTGGATATTACCGCTCTGTCTCAGTTGAGAGATGAGGCTCATGTTTCAAAGTATAGCATAAGAGCGACACCTGGTAGTTATGATTGTCTTCACTGGTGCCTCCCCGGGATTCCTGATACATGGAATGAGATTCTTGCTGCACAAGTATAGAGACTTTGTTTACGAATGGTAATGAGAAAATTTTGTTGCTGCCGTCGAAAAATGTGGCATGTTGGATTCTATTTTTTGGTTGAGAAGATAATACTGTGTCCGCTATGTTACGGATTTCGGGGTCACAAGAAGTAGGATTTGGTTCCTTTCTCACGTGTACAAAAGTTTCTCTACTACAAGAATTCGGTATTTGAAGGCCGCGAAGCAGCCTATATATAGTTGAACATGCACGTGATAGCTGTAGGGGGGTGTCTTGTTGGAGACAGGATATATTTGTATTTAGTGATTTATAATTTTAGCTATATTTCCTTAGAAAGTGTGAGATTTGTGTTAATTTTACAGTTTTTTTTTTGACTTGAATATTTTTGTGGGTAGATTTTGATGTTTTAACATATTATGAGAGAGCAGCGGTTACTGAGATTCTCATGTCGAATGCAAGGATTTATCAATGATGATACAGTAACAACTGTAACGTGAACAGTAAATAGCAGTAAATTACTGTGCTGTGTAAATCAGCCCCATACTTTACTGTAAATTACTGAACCATGAACTGTAATTCAAATCTGCAATATACTTTTTGAAGTTACTGTTTATATTATAGTATTTTACTGTATTATAAATAGTATATTAAAACTTAGATTCTCTAAATATAAATGAGTAGATATGATTTCTAAATTAAATGTATTAAAACTTGGATCTTCCTTTAAGTATAGAGAAGTAGATATAATTTTTAATTTTAAATATACAATAAATAAATTAAATATATTAGAACTTAGAGGACGGTAAGTTTAAAATACAATACTTACAAAAAATACGGGGCCGTGCTTTACACGAGGGGTGCGCACTAGTATTGTCATTATGACAGAGCTGATGTGTTTGGTTGCAAATTAAAAACAAAGTAAAAATATGATGTGTTTGGTTGCAAATTAAAAACATAGTAAAAGTATAATGTGGAGGTGATGTGGCCTATAAGGTGGAATCTCTGTTGTGCGCCTTTGCGGAAGCGTGCTCGCACATCAAACGAGTTCGCGAGTCACGAGAGAAGATTCTGTTGTGCGCCTTTGCGGAAGCGTGCTCGCACATCAAACGAGTTCGCGAGTCACGAGAGAAGATAACCAAAAAAACACAACCACAATTCAATCCAAATACAACAAATCAAACCAAACATAGAGATATACGTGGTTCGGCAATTTGCCTACGTCCACGAGGAGAGGATGAAGAGATTTCACTAAATCAAGGAGAGTACAAAGGGTTACAATCTCACAAAATCACTCACAAAAACCCTAAATCAAATCTCTCAACTTGCTCATAAGTTCTCCCTCTCAAAGTGCTTAGTACAATCTAAAATCTTTGGTTCTCTCTCCTCTCTTAACCCTAGAAATAAGTATTTCTAATTTATATCAAAACCCAATCAGAAAATGAGCAGGAAACAAAACAGCCCAATACCCGCTATGCGATCGACCGCCGAGCCAATATCGCGGTCGACCGTAAAAAGTCCAGAGATTTAATCACCTGCAGAGCTTGGGCGCGGTCGACTGCAGAACCCATTGCGGTCGACTGCCAAAAGTCCAGAGACTTTCCCTGACGCCATGCACGTTTACGGTCGACCGTCGTGCCACTCGCAGTCAACCGTGAAACTGTCTGTTTGTTTTTCTCCTGAACTTTGCTGTTTCTACAATTCTTCACCTCGGTAAACGTTTTTCAAAACTGAGCCAACACCAATACCAACCAAAATGTCCCACTTGTTGCATCCAGTACGAAGTGGAATAAACCTACGACAACGGACTCAATCCACAACAAGTCAGAAACCCAAATGAGAATGCGAACAATCTCCAAATATCAGTATCAACACATCAAACCGACTGCATCAAATTGACTGCCTACGTACCCCCTCTCCTAAGGGATCAAGCCCTCCGTAGTTCATCTAAATGGCCATGAACGGACTCAACAATCACTAATGTGCAACAAGTTTAACAAGTTTCAAGAATGATCAAACTTGTTGCTCGGAACCACCTTAGAGAGCATATCCGTCGGATTATCCTTCGTGTGGATTTTCACAATCTTCACACCGCCATCTTCAAGAACATCTCGAACAAAGTGATAACGAACGTCAATGTGCTTCGTCCGCTCATAAAAAACCTGATTCTTCGCCAAATAGATAGCACTCATGCTATCATAATGAATAGTGACGGACCGCTGCGATATATCAAGTTCCTCCAAAAGTTTCAGAAGCCAAATAGCATCCTTCACAGCCTCCGTAATCGCCATATACTCTGCCTCCGTCATCGACAAAGCTACCGTAGACTGTAAGGTACATCTCCAACACATCGGTGCACAGGTCAAAGTGAACAATATCCCGTAGTAGATCGGTCCTTATCCAAATCCCCGACATAATCCGAATCAACATAGCTAATACACAACTGCCCACCTCTAGTGTCCTGCTCATAAACCAAACCAACATTGAGCGTACCTCGAATGCATCTCAAAATCAATCTCACGACGTCCCAATAACCCACTCCTGGATCGTGCATGTATCTCGAAACCATGCTCACCGTCTGTGACAAATCCGATCTCATACATACCATCGCGTACATCAAGCTCCTAACCGTGCTCACATATGGAGTTTTCGACATCAACTCTCTATCTTCAACTGTGTTCGGTAAAAGATCACCTGAAAGCTTTAAATGGGGTCCCAAAGGTACACTGACTTCGTATCCATGCTGACATGAAATCGCTGTAGAACCTTCTTCAAATAAGCTACATGTGTCAAACAAATTCTGCCATTCTCTTTGTCTCTGCCTATCTCCATCCCTAAAATGCGCTTAGCCTCACCCAAATCCTTCATCTCAAACTCCTTTGAAAGCTGTGCCTTCAACTCATCTATAGAAGACCTGAAAATAGAGGCAACCAACATGTCATCGACATAAAATAACAAAAAAATGTACGCACCTCCTTTCAACTTGCGAAAATATATGCAAGGATCAAACTGAATCCGAGTGTACAAATGACCAATCATAAAACCATCAAATTGCTCATACCACTGTCGAGGAGATTGCTTTAAACCATATAGCGATTTCTTTAACCTACAAACCAACTTTTCCTTCCATGCAGCTCGGAATCTCAATGGCTGAGTCATATATATTTCTTTATTAAGATCACCATGAAGAAATATCGTCTTCACATCCAACTGATCTAACTCCAATCCATACTGTGCCACCAAAGCTAGTAAAATCCGAATCGAAGAATGCTTCACCACCGGAGAGAAAACCTCATTATAATCAATACATTCTTCCTGTGCATAGCCCTTCGCAACAAACCTAGTTTTGAACCTCATTGGAGTGCCTTCAATGCCCTCCTTCTTCGTGTATACCCACTTGCAACCAATCGCCTTCCGCCCCTTTGGAAGCTCAACAAGCTTCCATGTATCGTTCTTGTGAAGAGACTCCATCTCCTCATTAAACATGACGTCTCTACTCAACACAATCTTCCTATCAACTGGATCTCATAGCTTGTATCTTTTAATAGCACGCTTGAAACCTACAAATATGACCTACCTAGCTCGATGTTCCAACTTATCAGTTTTCACATGATAATATGCAGGGCACTCAAATACCTTGAGCTGGTCATAGTCGTGTGCTGGCTCTCCCGACCACATCTCCGTAGGGGTCTTCCCCTTAATCGTAAATGAAGGCAGTCTGTTAATAAGATGGCTCGCATATGAAAGTGGCTCAGCCCAAAAGATCTTCTCCAAGCCACTATGCGCCAACAAACATCGAATCTTCTCCAGCAAAGACTGATTTAACCCCTCTGCCACCCCATTTTGCTGTGGTGTGTGACTAACTGTGAAGTGTCTCTCTATGTCATCGTCTCGATATAGCTGCTGAAATAGGTTTGATGTGTACTCACCACCGTTGTCGGATCGCAACGTCTTGATCTTTCTCCCAGTCTGTAGTTCTAATTTTTTCTTTCACTCCACAAATATATCTAGGACTTCACTCTTCTTTGCCATGGTCTACACCCAACAATGCCTAGAATGGTCATCAACGAATGTGACGAACCAATATCAACTATCAAGTGATACAGTCTTGGTGGGACCTCAAGCATCTATGTGCACGTAATCCAGGATGACCCTCATCCTATGAATGACAGTCTCGAACTTTACATTCGTCTTCTTACCAAGTACACAGTGCTCACAGAACTTAACATTTCCACTCTTGGCTCCCTTCAATAGTCCCTGCTTGCACAACGCCTGCAGTGACTTTTCTCATGTGTGCCCCAACCTGTAGTGCCAAGTCTGCTAATCCCCGCCTCTGAAATAGCTGAAGCAACCTGGCCAATCACGATGCTCCCCTTCAAATAATACAAGTTCCTACTGCGGACTCCCTTCATCACCATCAAAGATCCCTTAGTAACATTTGCTTCAGCATCCTCAAAGGTCACCTTGAATCCATTTGCCTCCAAAGCTCCAACTGAGATAAAATTCTTTTTTAACTGAGGAACAAATCTCACTTCCTTTAATTCACGGACTACTCCATCGTGCATCCGAATCCTCACGAAACCTATCCCACAAATGCCACAGGATTGATCATTTCCCATGACAATAACACCCCAATGAGTCTCTCAAATGATGAAAATCAATCTCGTCTAGGAGTCACATGATAAGTAGCGCCAGAATCTAGCATCCAATCTGATACATCCAAGTGGTTCACTTCCGGAGTAATCAGTAGAGAAAAGCTCGAATCATCTGAATCATCGTCTCTCGTAACGTTCACCTCATTGGCCTTCTTTCCCTTTTCTTTGCCATTCTCCTTCTCCTTAAGCTTTGGACAGTCTCTCTTCCAATGTCCCTGCTCCTTGCAGAATGCACATTGGTTTTTTGCTAACTGGTGATGACCTCTTGACTTTGACCTTCCTCTATTACCACCTCTCAGATATGGGCTTCTACCTCTCGTCGACAAGGCCTCTCCTGAAGTACTAGCGCGAAAAATCTCCTTGTCCTTCCTCCTCAAATCAAAATCCGTCAAAACGTTAATTACTTCACTATAGCTGCTAGAAGATCTCTCATTCAACAAAGTAAGTACAAATGTATCATACTCCTCATCCGGTAAGGAGCCCAACAAAATAATCGTCTTGTACTCATCTGATATCTTCTCATCAACATTCGTCAAGTCTAACAACAACTTAGTGTAGTTGTTCACATGAACTACTAGTGAGGTGCCCCTGGATATCTAAAATCTGAATAACCTACACAGCAAGTGCAATCTGTTCTCAACACTCTTCATAAGGTACTTGTTATTGAGAATTTCCCACATCTTCATTACAGACGTCACCCTAATCACATCATATTTTAGCTCCTGTTCCAAACATGACCTGATCACCCTACAAGCGTTCCTATTTATCTTTTTTCATACCGCCTCT